AAAGAGAAGGAAGAGGCGGCACCTCTGACGATGCTGTGTGGTTGGAATCACCTCTGTGATCCCTCCACCGTTCCCTGTGGAGGGTCTTCAGTGACCACGGGGGGAACAACACCGGTCGAAGTCACCTCTGTGATCCCTTCACCGCTTCCTGTGGAGGGCCGTCAGTGACCACAGGGGGGGGGATCGACTGTCCAAAGTCGGAGGCACCACTGCGGTCCCTCCACCGATCCCAGAGGAGGGTCTTCAGCGACCGCGGGGGGGGAACCACACGCCAGACCACTGGCGGAGGACAGTGCTGACACTTCGTGGTGCCCTGGATCCCCACTCCACAGGCCCCAGCCTTCCTGGTTGAAACACGTACGTCCCGGATACCCAGGGAAACCACGCACCGAGAAGGCGGCCAGCGAGCCGAAGCGGCGGCCTCGGCGACACGGAAGGGGGGAACGGGCAGCGTGTCGCCCAGCCCCGGGGGGCGGGAGGCTAGGAGAAGCACGGGACGCAAGCGCCCGTCTGGGGGAGCTTCCTCCGACGTACTCGGGATGTGCGTATCTTCCGCTCCAGGGGGGCCGGTCGTTCGTCTCCCACGCAGCTTGTTGCCTCCAAAGGAGAAGCAAGGCACGTCCGACAACAGCCCGCCAGAACCAAGAGGGGGGAAGCCTGCGACACCCAATCGCGCTGCAGAGTACGGTGTAAAACTCGTGGTCAACAGAGAAGGTGGGACACAGAGCAGAAAACCGAACTGTCCACGGTATAGCCACACGCGCAGCGCGCAGACAGAGGAGAAATGAACTGAGGCCGACGGTATCGCCACACACGCAGCACGTAGACAACAGCCAAGAAAAGGACGTAGAAGTTCTGCAAGAAGCAGGTGTCGAGACACAGCCACGGTAGCAACTCGCAGGGATGCCACGAGGGGGTAGCAAAGCTACTGTGGGGAGACGGCCCACCACTGTCTGCAGTGCTTCCTGGGGGCCTGTTTGCACGGGTGGCCCTTTACCGCATGGTGGCCACTGCTCACACCGCCGCTCGGACCCAGGCGCCGCTGCCAGGCCCGAGCCCATGTCGACGTCGAGGCCCAGCGCATCGCTGAGGACCCGTACGTCGCCCTTGTGGCTGCGGAAGGATTCCAGGAAGAGGTGGCAGGTTTGCGGGTCGTGCCGATTCGGGTCGAGCGCGCCCTTGCCGCCAGGCCCCGACTGCCGCTTGGCGAAAGCGTGCCAGGTGCCAGTGAACATTGGTCCCAATGTGACTTGGAGTCGTCGTATCGCCTCGCCGGGTGCCTCCCCGGGAAGGTCCCACTGGACGTTGTTGATTCCTGTTTTGTACAGCTGTTGTCCCGTGTCGGGGTCCTTGGGCTCTGGCCATTGACGCGGGTCGGGCCCTTGGTGCCGCCTTGTATCCCGGCCGCCAGTCTCCAACGTAACGGCCTCGTTGTCCTGGCTGGGGGGATCGCACTCTGCTCGCGACAGCTCCGGCTGCCCGCCTGGCAGAATTTGGCGGAGAAGTGCAGACTGCATGGTTGGCCGCCAGACTGGGGTCGGAACGCGTCCGGCGGCAAAGGCAGACTCGGCCTTGTGGCTCGCGGGGAGGGGCCCCTTTCGCTGGCGCTCGCCTTCGGGCCTGCGCCCGCTGTCGTTCCCAGGTGCGTCCCCTCTGGACAGCGCCTGATCCTCTCCGTTCTCTGGGGTACCACTGGTTGTGCCGAGGACGTGCACGCACTGCGGCACGACTTCCACAGACGGGGCGCGGGCTGCGTCGCCAGCGGTGCTCTGGACGCCTGGCGAGGGCGCCTCGGGTTCGCCGTCCGTACGGAGCTCACTAACTGGGGAAGGGGGGCGAATGGGGGCGAAGCGGTTTCTCCCGACTAGCCAGCGGATGGCTTCGCTGTCCTGCGTCTGGATGGTTGTTCCGTGGCATCCCTGCTGGGTGCGTGGCGGCCCCAGAGGACTACTGGCGCTCTGATTGCCCTGACGGGGGTATTCCGCGGCTTCCGCAGCATCCGCCGTCTCCGCCGTGACATCCCACTCCTTTCCTCTGTCCTGCTGGTACAGAGGACTGATGATCATTGCCCTTCTGTCAATGTCCGTTTCGTTCCTCGGCGTTACACTCGGCGTAGGGGCACTGCCCCGAGTCGCAGCAACCGAGGAACCGACAACAGGTTGGGGGGCGTGTCCATGCACAGTTGGACGAACGTCCTGAGCAGATGGAGGAGGAGGAGGAGGAGAGGAGGAGACGCAGCCGATAGCCGCACAATCTGGTGAATTAAAGGAGGGTGAGGGAGGATTGGCCCTGTGTGTTTGCGCCGCTGGGGGGGATCTGTTCGCCTGTGTACTTGGCGGGGGAGCAGTGTTGCCTCCTTCGATGGGTTCGGCTCGCCTTTCGTCGGGCAAACCCTCGGACTGATTGTCCTGAGGGGGGTACTCCGCGGCTTCCGCAGCCTCCGCAGCCTCCGCCGTGACTTCCCGCTCCTTTCCTGTGGGCTGCTGGTACAGCTGGAGGGGGGGGTCGTTCGTATGAGCAGTACCCTGGTCACTGCAGGCTACCTCCTCTCGATTCCCCGCTGGGACGTCGTCGTCCGACCACGATGCGGGGGGTGGTATCGTGACCTCTGCCTCTACCGCCTCTCGATTCCCCTCTGTGACGTCTTGGTCTGTCGACGCTACGGGGGGCGTCACGCTGCCGCTGCTGCTGCGGCTATGCTCCGATGTGTCGTTGTGCGTGGCAGTATCCCCGGGATGGTCGTCTGTCGTTTGGTGGTCGCCGTCATGGTCGACGTCGTGGTCGAGCTCGTGGTCGTGGTCGTCGTCGTCGTCGAGGCGACGGCGTCCGTGGAGGTCGTGGTCGTCGTCGCCGCGGTTGTGGTCGTGGTCGTCGCCGCGGTCGTGGCCGTGGTCGTCTTCGTAGCCGTCGTGGTCGTGGTCGTCGTCGACGTGGTCGTGAACGTGGACCTCAGCGAGGCCGAGCGGGTCCCAGAGGCCGACGGGCGCCTGCACGCACAGCTCGCTCTCGAGGGCGCGCAGCGGCGAATCCGTGTAGGTCGCCCAGTCGCCCCAGGCGGAGCCCGTGAGGTTGTCCTGGAAGAACATCCCGATGATGGCCGTCGTGGCCAGGCGGCCTTCGGCCAGCTCCGCGCTCAGGAACCGCTTGTTCTTCTCAGGGTCCTCGATGCCGTCCCCCTTGAACCCGCCGAGGGCCCCGAAGTACGACTTTCCGAAGCCCGCCTCGGTTCTGCTGAGCTTGCCCGGAGGATCCGTGGGGTCCTGCCTGGCCGCGTGAAGCTCGAGGGAGCCGTAGAACAGGAACGTTTGCCCCCAGTCGGAACCAGACACCTTGCCCGGAGCGCTCAGGCCCTCTGGAAGGCTCGCAAAGGCAGGCCCCTCGAGGACGACACCTCCCGGCCACAGTAAGAAATACTGCACATGTACCCTATGGCGGCCCACATGGCGACGCGGCCGTGCTTGACCTCGGTGCCCCTCCTCCTGTAGAGGACGTCCGCACCGCCGTCCTTCGCAGAGCCGAGCGGGTCCCACCAGCCGACGGGCGCCTGCAGGTCCCACTCGCTCTCGAAGGCGCGCAGCGGCGAATCCGTGTAGGTTGCCCAGTCGCCCCAGGCGGAGCCCATGAGGCCGTCCTGGAGGAACATCCTGATGATGGCCATCATGGCCAGGCGGCCGTTGGCCAGGTTCGCGTTCAGGAACCGCTTCATCTTCTCAGGGTCCGCGATGTCGTCCCCCTTGTACACATTGAGGGCCCCGAGGTACGACTTTCCGAAGCCCACCTCGGAACCGTTGGGCTTGCTCGGGGGGTCCGTGGGGTCCTGTGCAAGGCCGAGCGGGTTCCAGTAGACGACGGGCGCCGGCACGCCCAACGCGCCCTCGAAGGCGCGCGGCGGAGAGCCAGCAGCGCCACGGCCAGCTGCCACAGCCACCGACTGCGGCGGCAGCGGCCCGCCAAAGGCGGCCGCGGCGGCGGAGGCAGCGGCGGCGGCCGCGGCGGGCGCGGCGTCACCGTCCTTCGTGAAGCCTGCGGGGTCACAGAAGCACACTGGCGCCTGCACGTCCATCTCGCTCTCGATGGCGCGAAGCGGGGAGCCCGTGTACAGCGCCCAATCGTCCCACGCTCTGCCCGAGAGACCGTCATGGTGGGACATCCCGGTGCTCGCCATCCTCGCCAGCCTTCCGTTGGCGATCTCGGCGTTCAGCATGCGGTACATGGACACATCGGCCGGGAAGGGGCTGCCGATGGGCACGCCCAGGACGCCGCCGCACTCGAAGTCGCCGGGAGCCCTCGAGGCGGCCACGCCGCGGCCGGCCGCCGTGACGGCCGCGGCGGCCGCGGCGGCGGCGGCGGCCGCGGCCGCCTCAGGATCAGCGTCACGACCAGTGGCCGCCGCCAGCGGCCCGTCAGGGGCGGCCGCGGCGGCGGCGGCGGCAGCGCCGGCCCCGGCGGGCGCAACGGCGGGCGCGGCGGCACCCGCGGCCGCGGCGGCCACGGCGGCGGCCGCCGCTCCCGCGGCGGCCGCGGCCGCCGCGGCCGGCCCCAGCGCAGCAGCGCGCGCCACAGCGCCGGCGGCCGAGGCGGCGGCGGCAGCCGCAGCGGCGGCGCCGCCGGCCACGCCGAGGCCGACAGGGGCCGTGCAAGGCAGAGGCGGCGGCCGGCCGGCCGGGCCGGCCGCTGCGGCGGCGCAGCCGGCGACGGCGCGCCGCTGCCGCCGCCGCCGCGCCGAGCGCGACACCATAGCAGAGCGAGCGGGGGCGCGGAGGGGGGCGACCCCCTCGCACGCCCCCGCGGGCGGGGAGGCCGAGGACCGAGGGGCGGGGGCCCGGCCAGCCGCTGAGGCCCGCTTGAGCTAGAGCGGCCTGAGCCAAGGCTACGGAAGCTGGTGGGGATACGCGAAGCGTCAGGCATTCCGAAGGAAAAGAGGACGGAGGGAGGAGGAACGACACAAGAACGAACAGGACAAGTAGCAGCAGACACTCCCGGCCCGCCCCAAATGGTGCCCACATCTGCGGTGGTCACGCTGCCGACCTGGAGCTCCGAACAGCTGCCACCGTCGAGAAGGTCGGAGGCGCTCGCTGGCACCTTGGCGCAAGCCCGCGCCCCCGAGCACAGGAGGGGTAGGAGGCGTAATCAGAAGGGGGTGAAAAGGAGCGGGGGGCGAAAGGGATGGAGGGTGAGCCTCCCTCCGGAACTGGCCGCAAACGCTTTCGAAAGCGAAACAGAAGGAGGAGGAGAAGACGCGAACGGCTCAGCAGGTTTGCTGCCGCGGCGTGGTCGGACAAAGACCCAACCCCAAGGCACCGGAGCCCCACTGTGCGACGGGGATGGGGTCCCACCCGGGTGCCCCTGGGCAGAGCGGGGGGGGGGAGAGGGGGGGGCGGCGGCGGCGGAGCTCTGCGGGTACACGAAACTGACCTGTGTGAAAATCTAACACCAGAAATTAAGCTCAAGTGCCTCGAATGCGCGATGTAAGCGGTGCAACCGCACGGCAGGGGGGGCTCTGGCGTGCCTCGGCTATCCCAAATCGGAGATATCCCTCGGGCTGGGCCACGCTTCTGCACTCGACAAAACGAGAAGGCCACCAATCTCTGTGGCGGGCTCAAGAGACGAAGCGGAATACAACAAGGCAGCATTTCTAAAGCACACGACGCAAAGCCAGGGAAAACATACTGTGCCCCAGGACGGCTCCGAGACCCATGGATTAAACGAAGCATCGCGTCATCAAGTGCGGAGGAAGAAGGGCTCGACGACGTCACAGACAACAGAGGAGAGGGAGGGAGCCGGGAAAGGCTGGAGTCCCCCTCTTAACGAACGGGGTCCTCGGCAACTCCAGCTCTAGCGGGGCGACGGCGCGGTGGCGGGCGGGCTTCACTTCTCACTCTCGAGCCCCTCTCTGGGCGGCCCATCCCGCTCGTGCTTCCTTCCTGTCCGTCATCCCGTCTCGAACTCACTTCCATACTCATCCTCATCATCACCATCATCATCATCATCCGCATCAGCATCATCCCCATTCTCATCATCATCAGATTTCCTCGAGGCCGTCGAACGCCAGCTGCACGAGGCGCTCCTGGTGGCTCTTGGGCGGGGTGCCCTTCTTGATGGACGCTCCGCACGGGACCAGCGGGGACAGCACCTCGGGCTGGATCCCCGTCTGGCTGGCTTCGAGGAAGATCTTCATCACTGACCTCTCGTGCGTGTAGCTCGCCCTGCAATATTTCACCTGGCTCGCGAGCGTGTCGTTGGTGAGCGCCTGGTCCACTCTGATACCGTCCATGTACTGGCTTATCTTCACGGCCGTCTGCGCACCCACTTTGTCTCCCATATGCAGCAGCGCGCCCGCCAAAGCCAACCACAAGTGAGGGCGAGGTACTCCCAACTCGGCAAGCTCCTCTACGACGCGGCCCTCGATGGGCTCCTGGCGGCGCTGCTGGCGGAGGCGGGCCGCCTCCTGGAAAAAGTAGTGGCCTGTAAGCTTCATCGTCGTGCACAGTTCGTGGTCCGCCTCCAAGTGCGCAGCTGGGAAGACCGCCGACTTCAGAGCTGCCGTGCTTTGCGCATTCTTCAGCAACGCGCGGATCACCGTAGGCATGACCGCTTGAATCAGCTCGATCGGCATCGGCGCCTCTTCCAGCCTGACAGATTCTCCACGTCGCAGCCCGCACGGCGATTCTGCATTCCCGGAGATGCTCGACAAACGTCTGGCCTATCTATCCCCGAGGTTGAGGCTGCTGCTGCTGCTGCTGCTGAGGCTGCTGCGGTTGCTGTGGTGGCTGAGGCTGTCGTGGGCCGCCTACTCTTGCCGCGGCCGCCATGCCTGCCACTCCGAGGCTCCCCGCTGGTCTGGCTGGGCGGGATGCGATAGAGGTGCGCAAAGTGCTCGACCCTGCTGCCTTTTCCCGTCTCCTCGGCGCCGCCTCTCGCCGCTTCGCGAGCGCAAAGCGCGGCCTCGCTGTGAGGCGTCCACGCTGAGGGCGCGGTTGACAGAGGGGGAGGACGGAGGACGAAAAGGGGCGGGAGGAGAAGGGGAAGACTAGGGGAACAGGGACATAGAAAAAAGGGGAGGGGCAAAGGGGGGATATGGGAGGAGGAGGAGGAGGAGAAGGAGGAGGAGGAGGAGGACGATGAGGAGGAAGAGGAGGAGGAGGAGGGGTAGGAAGAGGAGGAGGAAAAGGAGGAGGAGGAGGAGGAGGAGCAACGGAACATCATACTGCTTTGCCTGTTTTTTTTGGGCGCTGGCGAAGAACGGCGTGAAGATCGCGCCGACCGCGCCGGGCATCATCGTCTCAAAGGCCAGCGCTAGTAGGTGCACACGAAATCGACGGTCCACGCCAAGGTAAACCAATCCTCCACAACTTGGGCAGCCATGCCGCCTCGCGAGCCTGATGAAGTGACAAGCCCGCGCAGGGCAGCAGAGCCATCGACGGATCCACGGGGCGAAGCCTCACCGCGACGTTTAGGGCCACATCGAGACTCGGCTGCGCGGCGAGCCAGGCGCGAGGCCTCCGCGGGACGACGACGCCGCCAGCGGGGCCCAGACGGCCCCAGGAGGAGCCTCCCTGCGCTGCTCCCACGCACGGCGCGCCTGCTCGACGTCCTCAGGGGCAGCCTCAGACAACAGCAAGTGGAGCTGTCGCCGCTGTTCAAGCAACTGCTCGCGTTCTCTTCGGTCGGCCCGATGCAGTTCGGTCTAGCTGCTACTGAACACCTCCTGTCCCGCCTCCATGAAAAGTCGATCTACCCCCCACCCCTCGGGTGGAAAAAACTACGCTACCGAAGAACCCCACAGACTTCATTTAAATCTTATGGGTTTGCTTTTCATTATCGTATATGCGCAATCCTGCGTTCTAGACCCTCGTCGCGAATGTTTCCCGATATTGTCATCCATCACGCTACTGATAGAACATCCTCGTACACGGGCACGCTCGCGGAGTACTTCGCGTAGAGCGTATCGGGCCACCAATTGTGAAGCTGGCGGCGGTACGCATTAAATGCGGACAGCATAACTCCGCTTGCGCATCTGCGAGAGCTCTCCACGCTGACCCCGCCAACCATCTGAATCATTGCGCTCTTCATCGCCAAACACGGGGGTGGCAGCGCGTCCATGGCAATTTTGGGCGGCATGACTGCCACACGCAGCTACTACGGGCACGCCTGCGTGAAAGCGCAAGCGCGCCGAGCCTGCCTGAACCAAAGTGTCTACAGTTCTGCATGGGACGCAAACTCTCGCCAGCGCAGACCTCTGGTGTAGAGACATTGCCACGCCTGCCACGCTTTGCAAGCCCGAAACGGATAGCGACCCCACCCCCAGCGCGCCCCCCTGGTGGTGTCGAGGATGTGCCACGCCTGCCACGCTTTGCGAGCCCGAAACGGATAGCGACCCCACCTCCAGCGCGCCCCCTGTGGTGTCGAGGATGTGCAACTCTTGCCACGCTTTGCGAGCCCGAAACGGATAGCGACCCCACCCTCAGCGCGCCCCCCCTGTGGTGTCGAGGATGTGCCACGCCTGCCACGCTTTGCGAGCCCGAAACGGATAGCGACCCCACCCCCAGCGCGCCCCCCTGTGGTGTCGAGGATGTGTCACGCCTGCCACGCTTAGCGAGCCCGAAATGGACAGCGACCCCACCCCAGCGCGCCCCCTGTGGTGTCGAGGTGTGCCACGCCTGCCACGCTTTGCGGGCCCGAAACGGATAGCGACCCCACCCCCAGCGCGCCCCCTGTGTCGAGGATGTGCCACGCCTGCCACGCTGTGAGAGCCCGAAGCGGATAGCGACCCCACCCCCAGCGCGCCCCCCTGTGGAGTCGAGGATGCCACGCCTGCCGCGCTTTGCGAGCCCGAAACGGATAGCGACCCCAGCGCGCCCACGCCCCTGCCGCCGAGCCCGAAACGGATAGTGTGGTGTCGAGGATGTGCCACGCCTGCCACGCTTTGCGAGCCCGAAACGGATAGCGACCCCACCCCCAGCGCGCCCCCTGTGGTGTCGAGGATGTGCCACGCCTGCCACGCTTTGCGAGCCCGAAACGGATAGCGACCCCACCCCAGCGCGCCCCCTGTGGTGTCGAGGATGTGCCACGCCTGCCACGCTTTGCGAGCCCGAAACGGATAGCGACCCCACCCCCAGCGCGCCCCCTGTGGTGTCGAGGATGTGCCACGCCTGCCACGCTTTGCGAGCCCGAAACGGATAGCGACCCCACCCCCAGCGCGCCCCCCTGCGGTGTCGAGGATGTGCAACGCCTGCACGCTTGCGCGCCCGTAACGGATAGCGACCCCACCTCCAGCGCGCCCCCTGTGGTGTCGAGGATGTGCCACGCCTGCCACGCTTTGCGAGCCCGAAACGGATAGCGACCCCACCCCCAGCGCGCCCACCTGTGGAGTCGAGGATGTGCCACACCTGCCACGCTTGGCGAGCCCGAAACGGATAGCGACCCAACCCCCAGCGCGCCCCCTGTGGTGTCGAGGATGTGCCACGCCTGCCACGCTTTGCGAGCCCGAAACGGATAGCGACCCCACCCCCAGCGCGCCCCCTGTGGTGTCGAGGATGTGCCACGCCTGCCACGCTTTGCGCGCCCGAAACGGATAGCGACCCCACCCCCAGCGCGCCCCCTGTGGTGTCAAGGATGTGCCACGCCTTCCACGCTTTGCGAGCCCGAAACGGATAGCGACCCCACCCCCAGCGCGCCCCCTGTTGTGTCGAGGATGTGCACCCTCTGTGGTGTCGAGAAAGTGCCACCCCTGCCACGCTCTCCGACCTTGGCACGCGTAGAAACCGCGCTGAGGGACCACCCCCTGCGCACCTTCTCCGGTGTCGAGAAAATGCCACACCTGCCACGCTCCGCCGTGCCGTCCCTGCGCGCCTGCCCTGTGTGCTATGCTGTGCTGAGCTGTGCTGTGATGTGCTGTGCGTTGCCGAGCTGAGCTGAGCTGTGCTGAGCTGTGCTGTGCTGTGCTGTGCTGCGCTGTGCTGTGCTGTGCTGTGCTGCGTTGAGCTGTGCTATGCTGTGCTGTGCTGTGCTGTGCTGTGCTGCGTTGAGCTGTGCTATGCTGTGCTGTGCTGTGCTGTGCTGTGCTGTGCTGCGCTGTGTGAGAAGGAGAGAGAGAGGTGAGGTGTGAGTGTCGCGGGTGCGGCGCGGCAAAGAAGAAAACCATAACCCCGCGAAGCATGTGGGGAAAAACATCTGAAGTGGAACGATCGAGTAGAGCACATTCTCGTCAGACTCCAGGCACGCACAAACTCGGCACGACGTTCGCCGCGCCGTAGACGCAGCATGATCAGGTCACTGTCCTACTTCCAAGTGCGCGCCTGTGCAGAGACAGGCGAGATGGAGACGGAGGCTGTCTATTTCGTTTCGGCAACAGGTCTAGAGATGATCGGCAGGACGCGCAGTGAGGATAATCTGCAGCTTGAGGCTCACCCTTTCGCAAATCGACTGCTGTGAAACCTGAATTCGAATAGTGGGCGGGGCAAACATCCGAAATCAATGGTACCCGTGCCACCACACGGGCCAGTCACCGTTGGAACACGTTCGCGAGATCATTAGCAACACAAACAGTACGCCGAAAGACATGACTTCTCCTAATGCTATACCTGCGTAGTGTGCCTGACTAACATATGCACTTATCGGCATGCACTTATCCCCTCCGTGCCTGATGGATGAGCCCGGTCCTGCCATTGAGACCCGTGCCTGCAGTGGGAGCCGTCCTAACAGGCAGACCACACAACTGACTAGCACAGCGCGGCGTGAACCGAACACGCGTAATGTGGTAACTACCCTTGGCGGCGTGGTACCGAGGCTGAGAAGGATACAGTCATCGGCCCGACCTAAGGAACGACACATAACGAAACACCTTTTTCCAAAGAGTAAAGCAGAAGGAACGGTCAATACGTAATAATGCATAAGGGGCGATAAGTAACGCATGCAAGCCTTAGGAACGACCGAGCCCCTTTTGAAAAGCAACTGTTCCTTAATCAAGCCACTAACTGTAGTCTAGTGCCAAACAACTCACATCCCCAAAACCCTTTCTTCAGACGCTCGGGTAACCCAACCCTCGGGCGTGAAGCTCGGAAGGAAGAGCAGCAATTTTCACAGTACGGGTATCCCGAAAACTGGTACCAAAAAACAGCCGAGACGCCTGCATAGCTAGTCGCGTAAAGTTCTACTTTGGACTCGGCTTCAAAGCCAATACTGGAAGAATGCTACAGAGGCATGATCACCTGACGGCGCCTCACGGGGGCGCCAGCCACAACTTACCCCTTCGTGCCGATCAGCGTCAGCACGTCGAACGAAACGGTGCGACGGCATGTCTCCTCCGAGACTTCCCCGCTGTTCGCCCTGACAGGGTTGAAACTGCCTGCGACCAAGGGGAGCATCCCCGGAGTGGCCAGCGGCCTCTCACAGCATGTGGCAAAAGGGACAATCATGGAAGGTGGTACGTGAACTACATTACACGGAGAACGCCCCGCTGCTGTGCTGCGGAGCCAAGGGGGTGAGGAGGAGGAGGAGGAGGAGGAGGAGGAGGAGGGGAGGAGGAGAAGGAGGAGGAGGAGGAGGAAGAGGACGGGAGTGATGGCAGGAGAACGATCCTTCCCCTTCTCCTGAATCATTCATTCTCCTTCTCCC